ATGTAATGATATACAGGGCGTTCTATTTTAAAAAATGGAATTTTGGTCTGTAGCACCTACACCAAACACCCTGTATATTTAAAAATTATATCAAAATATAGCTCTCATGAACTCCTAAAACTTTCGTATGAAACATTTTTGTGTATCTCCTTCAACAAACCAGATATTGCCTGTCACATAAAATGTGGGACACCCGGTATACAAAGAGAGATTTTATCAAGTGGGTATGATATAAAAATCAAAAATGAAACAATTAGCGTACCCAACACTCCAAAAGAGGGGCAAACCGCGGACACGTGTTTCTGGCTATTGGCCTCATCAGCGCGGTGCAGCCAAGTGTAAAGATGGGCAACACTTGTTTGCCGAAAGCAGGAAACAACACATATGCACGGAGTCAGCAACAGGAGCCAACCGCACATTTGTGGTTCCAGTTAGAAGACCTAGAATTCCCAGGCTACATCCGGGTTTTGATCTGTGTTATGTGCTATTATATTCAATCTTTAAGATAGATTCTTATGATCTCAAAGACATTATTGATTAACAATATAGCTTCGCCAAAGGAAAATCAACTGATGCTAACTTACTACTTCAAGACAACAGTATCATCAGTTCCCTAGAAAACGAGTTGTTGGTTGATTCTATGCACAGCAATTTCTATAAGGCCTTTTACGGAGTTAATCATAACTTATTGCTCAAAGCATTGAGTATAGTAGGACATGTTTTACATTATCTCGCGAGCTACCTTTGCAAAAGAGTTCAGCATGATATGACAATTTTGTATCAAGATAAATTGAAAAACCTTCAGGAGTACCTCATGGATCTCACATGGCCCCGCTATTGTTCAGTTCATCTATCAATGTGGTGAAGTTACAACTTATTACATTTGAATTTAGATAAATGTCAGAAAATCACTTTTTCGGGATTCTTTATTCGATAAATTTTTCAAATGAACTCAAGGAAAGGGATATAGGAATTATTCCCGATTCCAAAATGTCCTTAGTACCATATAATAACTTCATCTGGAGTCTGTAAAATATAAAATCGATGTATCAAGTAAATATATACCATGAAAATTTCTATCTGATTATACATTTTGTCATTTTGTATTTTTTTATAGGTCTACTGGTTTGGGGGGGTGAAAATTTCGAATTGAGTTTCAAAATCTGGCAGTGTGGTGGGAGCATAGAATGGGTGCCATGTTCCAGGGTTGGACACGTTTATCGCAGTTTCATGCCTTATAATTTTGGAAAACTTGCTCAAAAGAAAAAAGGTTCCCTCATCACTATCAACTACAAACGAGTCATTGAAACATGGTTTGATACTAAATACAAGGAGTATTTCTATACCCGAGAACCTATGGCTAGATACCTAGATATGGGGGATATAACTGAACAGCTTGCTCTTAAAGAACGACTGAAATGCAAGAATTTTCAATGGTATATGGATAATGTTGCCTATGATGTTGTAGAAAAATTCCCCGAATTACCTCCCAACTTACAATTTGGAGAAATGAGGTGAGAATACAGATCGCATTTAATAAAATTATTGAAATATTATTTTATCAAACACGTCAAATTGTGGCAAACTATCACTGTATGAAGCTTGCTAAGAGGGTACTTTTATCAGAAATAGTATTATAAGGTTATGAGATTTCAAAGAAGCTAATAATTCACCATACAAGAAATTCTTGAATGACCAATCATATGCACCTCTCTGGAACATGTTTATTATTCTGTCTTCGACCTCGGAGTTGGCAGAGTTGCTTCCAGACTTAGTCTGCAGGTGGCGCGGTGGTATATACTACGGAATCAACTGCAGGCAGAGCTTGTGACTAGTTGAAACCAATTTGAATATTCTGATGGTTCCCTCCGTCTGAAATGACCCACCCGACATTGACGAGGAGCTAATACTCCGAAACCGGTCTGTCGATGGTCATCCCCTCCAAATGAAATTAATTTCAGCATTCCATATATAAGAAGTTACTTGCTATGAATTATCCAAATGGAAGACTTTGCACAGGTGCCTGATAGTTTCACTTCAACTTTCTGTGCGGCATTAGCTGGGTTAGCTGTTGTTCGGTCAGGTATTTGCCACACGTACCTATAAAAGCTTTACTTATTTAAGTCATGATTTATTCTTTTCTGTAAATGGAATTCTTCTTGGTCTACATCTGAACCAGACTTCTCATTACAATTGAATGTAGTATTGATGCTCAAATATCCAATTTATTCTTCTTTTTCATGAAACATTCCTTGTGAAAAATTGCTAAAAGGTTTTCCATACATAGTAACTGAGTGATTCAAATTAACAACTATTAAAGGGAACATTTGTTGAGGTTGCTGAATATATGTATTCACTGTGTGACTATTAAACTGAAATAAAAAAATAGTATACACCGTTTTTAACATTTTGTGATTCAAAAATATTAAAAAAAACTCTTATCATTCTGGTATATTATTTATTTCTTGTGCTTGCTTTCATTGGATTCGTTTTGATGATTTTTTACAGGTCAGTAGCAGCCAACAAGTGCCTGGATACACTGGGCCATTCACCTCCGTCTTTAATGGCAATCCAGCATTGCCACGGGTTTGGAAACAATCAACTCATGAGACTCAATGCCAAGGGGCAGTTAGGAGTAGGTGAACGGTGTATCGAAGCTGATGCGCAGGGAATCAAACTCGCTTTCTGTCGGATGGGAACCGTCGATGGCCCTTGGATTTATGATGAAAATACTCACACGTTATTGCACAGGGTGCACAAAAAGTGCATGGCCTTGCATCCCCAAACGTCTCATTTGTCGCTGATGCCTTGCGACATCAACAATGCATATCAGCAGTGGTTATTCAAGGAACTCCGTCCTAAAGTTTAGACGGTGTTGATGCAATGATAGTTCGCATATGAGTGAGTCATCACATCTCGAAGTTTTAAAAAAAATGAAATAAGCTGTTGTTTCAGAGTTTCTCTTTGTTGCTGCCCAAGTCACTGAAATCAATTTTTTTTTGTTATTTCAAGTAGTTTCATTGGTGGATTCATTAATTGGAATGTGAGAATACTAACAAATTTCGTATCATCATGATGTTTTGTATTTATGAGAGCGAGGAAAAAAATGTGATTGGTTAGCTCTAAGGTCAACTCTAGACCAGACAGATTTTTTGTTGTAACTTGTCAAATTTTGAAAATTGGTTGAGTTTTAGGTATTTTTCGCAAAATTTTTCTTCAAAGAAAAGTTCAAGACCATTTCTCACTGACATAGTAATGCTTATTTCAACCTAGTCATTTCTTAAATATTTGTAAAAAAATGTAAAAAACATAAAACTAAAAATAGATGTTTGTGATGACAAATACCTAATACCACAAATGTCAACTTGTCATTCCAGATAAAGTCAAACTTTTATCAAGTCACCTCTTAGAGACTTTCATAGACATTTCTCGAAAACTGATGGATTCACTAATTTGATTAGTTGAATCTATATGTAAAAAAAATAAGCATACTAATTTTTCAATTTTGAAAGCAGAAGAAAGTTATATTGAAATATCCTTACGGCATACATGCACTGTGGTTAATCATAGTCAGTATGAGATCAGTTCAGTTCTCCTATGTTTACTCTCATCACAAAAATAGGATTCAGATTGTGTTACATTAATTCACATTATGATTCATTCATATATGACAAATAGAAAAAATTGAATTTACTAGAGTTCTGAGTGAAAAAATAATTCACAATTATTTGATGTTGTATGCAACGGAAAGAATGAAAGTAAAGTAAAAGGCTTTTGGGTCTGAAAGGTGAATTGAACTTGAGTTGACCTTATAGCAATACAGTCCAAACCCCTTTTTGTCCCATTTCATAAGTGGCGATATTTTGAACAAAAATTCCAACAAGTTGTATTATCACATCTGTGGTGGCCTTGCTTATCAAACACAAGATGGTTGCTGGAGTATCTGAAAAATAATGCATGTCAACACTAGCATATAGTGCTAAAAATGAGTTTCCCCTTGATTCATGGGTTATACCCAACAAGACGTCCAGGAATTACTTAAGGATGTTAATACACAACTCTGACAAAAAAATGTTAATACACAACTTTGACAAATTCTCAGGTTTTGTCAACGAGATCAGAGATCTCAGTATTATTCATCTCAATTATTCGGAAAAATCTTCAAAAAGATTAAATAAAAGTAACATTTTGTCTACCTTCAACAGAATTGCAAACTGTTAATCGATATCAAACAAACTACTGATTTTTGAAGGTGAATTAGTGACTGCATTGATCTTGATTTGTTTATTCAGACGTGAAAGAAAATACCCGTAAAAATCCATGAAAATGACAATTAATGTTTACTAACAGAAATCAAACACACTGTTCAAGGTTAGCTTGTGATGGAAAAATCAGTGTTATAGAGTATTAATTCTGAAATATTGCAATCATAGATACTTTCGTTGCTAACATTTTATTAGTGGTAAAAACCATTGTTTTTATAATCAAAAGGCTCATCGCCATTCAAATATAAAAACATTTGATTTCAGTGACAATGTTCACAGCATATGACAAAATCAATATAGGAATTCAAGATTTCATACTCCAATGAATGAGCATGTGATATTGACAAATGACAATAATATCATGGAGGGATGTGTTTTTTCTTAATCGTTCGCTTACCATATATTACTATCATCCCAACTTCATTATTACTGGTTAGAAACTCAACTTTTTCCACTGAAAGTTTTGACAGGGCTTAGATAGCAATTTCAACAGTATGACGAATGTTTCACATCATCACAAATTTGACTATATCTGTTTTCTCTTCATATTCATGAGCCCATCAAAAAAACGATAAATTCATTTCAAAAATCAGATTTTTATTCAGCAAATGCTTAATAGTTTTATCAAACATCTCTGATTTTTATGTTTAGTTTTAAAAAAGGTTGATAAAATATAGAAGGTTTGTTTTCTCAAATTATAAGAATTCATAATTTTCAACAAAAATGTTATTTTGATATTTCTTAAAAAACTGACATAATGGTAATTTTCAGGATTTCAAATCCATTAGATATTAGATATCTTGAAAATTGTCGTGATCTTGATTTTTTTAAATTCAAAAGAGATTGATTTCTTGGTTCTCAACAAATACTACAAAAAAATAAATAATATCTTCTTTAGTTTTAGTAATGAATTTGGTAAGACTTATATGGTTAGAGTCCGTTACATATTGATAACCATTGTTTATCTTTGATGAGTTTCTCAATGTTTTACTTGCATGAGTGGTTGGTATCTTCACGAGTGCAAATACTGGTATTTCATTTTCTGAGTTTACATATTTTCATAAAGATTACAATTTCTTTTTTTTTAGCACACTGAAACTGTCGCCTCACTAAATAACTTGACATCATCAGATGACTAGTTTTACCACTTATTTTCCAAACATGTTGTTATCATCAAATGATTTCCAATTATCCTATAAGCTTTATCAATTACAACTTCAGTACTTTCGAATACTAGTACTTGTTTGAAGAAATATTTTTAAATATTTCTCAAAGTTCCCATACTACTTCAACTATCTTTTAAAAGTAGTAGTAACTTCCAACTTATTTCATCAGTTCGAACTTCCATTGTCTAATATAATATAAATTGATTTGAAATCCCTGAAAAAAATTAAAAAGTTCAACCGAAAATAATTATTTTTTTCAGGGATTTCAAATCAATTTATATTATATTAGACAATGGAAGTCCGAAGTGATGAAATACACCACGAAACATTGTCAACCACCTTCAAACAAACTTCCAACTTAGTTTATATCCACATCTATAAAATCACCCTTCCATAGCTTTGTCGTTCTATACAAATGTACACCATAAAGATAAGGATGTAACAAAAGAATAGGTCAGTCATAAAACATTAATTTATTCACTAATTGAAAATTCGATAGTGTAATAGTCTGCCTAAAGTTTGTGAGATTGATGTACATTTGTTGTTGAAAGTATGGTAAACCGTTAAAAAAGTATTAAGAATTATGTAGACAACTGACTCTCCTATATGCAAATTGGAAGTATTCCATCAAGAAATGGGGCATACCATACGGAACTGTTGAGATGTGCATTTAATCATTTATTGAAGTATTGTGATTCCATTTTGGTATGCTCAGATATATTCACAAACTGAAGTAAAAATGATACTCTGAAAAGATTTTCTGAAAATATTTTGTTATAGTATAATATAAATCAATATTTGTAGAATGTATTTAAAAGATTGTATATAAATCAGGGTAATACAAATCAATCACTTTTCCACATTTTCATTACGAAAGTTATTTAAAATGAATTGATGTTGATAGTTTTTTATATTTTCATTATTTATTGAAATTAATAAATGATTTTATTAGGATTACTCGTTTTTTCCACTCAAAGATATAATTCAACCAAACAATCATAACTGTCAGTTGAAAGTAGGGGTGAAATATACTCACCGCAAGGTTAAAAACAATTGCAACAAAAATGTGATAAAACGGACCAATACTTGATGACAATCCAAAAAACACACTTTAATGTGAGATTCCTACTTGAAAGTTCACAAATTCGCGAGACGTAATAGAAAAGCATCTTCGGGCGTCACAATATTGTGACACCTGAAGATGTTGAAACACACTTCAATGTGAGATTCCCACATCACAATATCATGATGGCTGAAGATGCAACTGAATAGTGAAGCACTTGTCGTGATGTAAACTCTCAAGTGGGAATCTGTTCAAAAACGTGACAGCGAAAATTCACTATTTATCATCATTAAATTGTAAATTTGGGGTGGCCTTTCTAGTCTTCTTTTCTGCATCATAATAATAAGATTTTGCAAGTTCAAATTTAGTGTACCTTTCAGAAAAGGTTTTGAGTAATTGCTATCCTAATATAGTGTGCACCTACTAGGTTTTCATAAAGCAATCTAAACTGGAACACACGTCATTGAAATTAATAAAGAACTCTCCAAAGGCCGTTTCATCTTAAGGAGAATGAGGAGTGTGGTAAGCAGAGATGTTCTCAAAATTGCGTATTTTGGTATAATACAGGCTCACTTGCAGTATGGAATATTACTTTAGGTTTCAGTATCAGCAGCAAATGAAGTTTTTGTATCTCAGAAAAAACTAATTAGAGAGATGGTTAGAGAAAACTACTGGGGCAGTGATACACAAATACAAGTCCAAAAGCAAGGAAATTATTAGAACAGCTAAAATGAATTTGGTGAATGCTGAAAAACAATCCGAAGCATTTTACAGCAAAATATATAATACTCTTCCGCAAGAGTGGAAAAACTTTTCAATTAATAAACTTAAATTTGAGGTGAAGCGGGCACTTGTAAGCCAACCATTTTACAAAATTATTATTTCTTTGGCGCAGTTTGGAAAATTTAACAAATTAATGCGGCACCTTTGTAGCTAGTTCTTCTCTTATATTTTAAATGTGAATTTAAATATTGTATAAATTTTTTGTTTGATGTGTCAAAACATATTGTGTTTTGTCTTTTCAACTTATGTACTATTGTATTGTGATGAGCAATACATTCTTATCTTATAATTGGCAGCAAGTTTCCATACACATTTCATGTTGGAACAACACTAACTGAAGAGGCAATGTTGCCCATAAGACATAAGTGCATAATCTCATTCACATGATAGAATCATTCCAATTAAAAATAATTGTTTATTTGTTTATTGCAATAACTGCAGATAGATGGAGGATTCAAATGGAATTTTGATTGAGGTCATTTGAATTCTAAGAAAGCAGGAAGAGAACAGGTATATTTAAATATAACTGTAAGTGACTGCTCATTACATCCTCATTGTACTTGACTGTTGACAATTATCTAGAATCAATTAGAATCAGATAGCCTCTCATAACACCAATGGAAAACAGATTTGTATTAATGTATATAGCAAATTTTCTTTCAAAGTTGCTACTACTTTGAAAATAACAACCAAACTGAGAAATTCAGGCCATTATCTATAATACTCTAGAAAATTGATTATTGGTAGTCAAGGTGGAGATTGAATTGAATGATTGTTGTCTTATTTTCCTTGGTTCAATCTCATTAGAACAGTGACAGTGATTGAAACCTAACCTAACTACTTACTCAATGAGGATAATAATCAAATCTAGAATTCAGTCATGAATCAGAATCAGTCATGACAAGTTATAGAAAGTTACACGGTTTTCAATGAATCATACGAGAATATACTAATTTCAGAAAAGTATTTTTTTATTGATGAGGTGACTGCAGTTAATAGTGGGTTTTTGCAACAATACCAAAAAACAAAATCTGATAATTGATTACCGAACTATAGTAGGAAACAGTACATTTGTTGTGGTTTTCAGTAAGGATTCGACTCTTTCTGATCATTCAAAATTAGTGAGTCAGTTATGGACTGAAACGATTTACGTGACACTATACTCACAATACAGTTGATCAACTGTTTTCTCACTGTTAGAAACAATCCGGACACAGAACCAAAGTATAACTAGTATTCAGGCCCGAGAATACCTACCACAGAGAAGCGACATTAACGTCGGATCCTTTGATGTTCGGTGTCCCAACTCCGAACCGAAGATTTTGAGTGATAGACAACCTGGTTCACTGAGAAAATTGACCTCTCAGCGATATACACTAATAAAAATACATACTCTTACGTTCTAGTATAGTACGTGGGCTCACCGTGAAATATAAAATTATAGTGTGAAGGGCATCTTACTCCATTCAATTTTTATATTTCTAATTGAACAACTTTCGCAGTAATAAAAGAGAATATTCAACTATGTGGCCAATTTATTATTATTTATGATGAATTGGCTTTTAAGAAATAAATTGAATTACTTTATTTTGTAAATTCAATTCATTAGATAGAAAATTAAAATAAAGTTACGATAATAGAATAATGCTTATATTATATAATCATTTTATATCCTCTGAAATAAATAAGTCCACTAAGAATGAAGTGACTTTTGTTATTTTATGTAATCTTAACTTAAACTTTCATTAACAACATCAATACAATCTGAGGGTTCTAATTAAGTAAGGTTCCAAATGAAAAAGTGATGAAACAAGATATTTTACCAAAACCTCTCAATTTAAAAATGTGACAGAATCTTAAGTTTCTTTCCTTAGTTTCCTTTTTACAGTTTTACCTTTGGTATTATTGATATCACTATTAGTATATTTGATACTATTAAAATTTTCCATTCTATGAATAGCCTAATTATGTATATTTTTGGAAAATTTTCACAAGGATGAAGAAAATCTACATCCTTCATTAGGTTGAATAATATATTCGAAACTGCTCCCCCAGTAGAAATTTCTGTAAATCGATTGTTAAATAAACATTCCAACTGATATATAAAATTAATGAATTCATCTGGTGGTGAGCGCAAATTTCCAAAACTGCTTTGAAAGACCAACCAATATTGTTCAAGTCTTCAGAATAATTGTTGTCTATTGACATTTTATTTTCGATGACATCTTTCGTAATTTTCAGAGGT